CAAATTCAACCTAAACTCAACTCGAGAGAAAAAACATCACATGAGTTAAGATTTTTAAGACTTGGATGGGCCTGGCCAAAAAAATTATTAACCTAAATTGAATTTGGGCAGTGCCCTGATTGAGGCATCGGGTTTCCAAGTTCAACCTGAATATATAAATTGGACTCACCCTGAATTCTAAATCGGGGCTCAACCCAAATTCCAAATTTAGGTCAACCCTAATATATAAATTAGGTTCAACCCGAAAATATTTAAAAATAAATATATAAATCAATATAGTAGTAGCATTTAAAAGTTAATACGATAGGGATCAATCTTCTGGTTCAGTCTTAATGTTAAACATTTGGTTATTATGTCTTTATGTTAAACATTAATTTTTTTGCTTTAAATACTTTGGTATTTATGTTAAACATTTGATTGAAATTGTTGAATGTTATTTTAGGTAAATACTATGTGGTATGTACCAGGTTTAGAACAACAAACTGATTTCGGACTTAAATGAACTCAACCCGAATTACGTAACATGAACCCAACTCGCACTCTAACCCAGAATTTACCCAAATTCAACCCAAGTCTGTCCGACTTAAACTTGAATAATACTCGAGTTGGGTATCTCTAGTTAAGGTTGAGTTAAGATTAAGATTAAGGTTAAAAATTATATAACTAGAGTTAGACTAGGGTTAACCCTCAACCCACCCGAGTTGCACCCCTAATTGAGCCGTCCCTGAAAAGAAGGGCCATATTATTGCCTTCACCATCATATTTAACCATTTCTTTGAACTTCATTCGTTCCCTGTATAATGTAGGGAGCAGCGATCTTGCGACATTTTGTGAAAATGGTTATAGATACTGCCCATAAAATTACCTAGCTTAAGGATTTTGAAATCAATGATTGGTGAGATAGAAAAGGCAAAATAAAAAAAATATGCCAATGGAAAATAGACGACAGGTAGTTAATTTAGATAGCAAGGTATAGTGCAATAAAGAAAAATCAAACACATCTCCATTTCCAGACCCTGCAGACGCTGCAATGGCAGAAGCCTCATTCTCGGCCACCTTTTTTTATCAATCAGCACAAAATGGATAACATGAAGTTGTCCACTAATTTCATTACAAAGTTAAGGCAGTATGATATGATCTAGTGGGAAACACAACAGAAGTTACAGAACACAGAAATGACAACTATGATTCTACCAATATACACAACTGTAATACAAATCTATACAATGAAAAATTCTTGCCTATTGATCATTGTAACACCAAAGCACAAGCATTGACTACAAGAGAAATGAACAGGTATTTAAAAAATAAATCTTCCTAGTTTGAACAATATGGACCAGCACTATGTATACCTTCTATAAACACATCAAGCCAAACACACGAGCAAACAAACAGTAGCAGAAAACACTGACAGCTGGACCAAACAAAATATCACACACTGAGTAAAGATATTTCATTCCTAGGAGTGTTCACTTTCTCTTTCTTTCCTATCATTTAGCTTTAACATCACCCTTGGTTTCAGAAGAAGACATTTTCGAGTTTGGGGATTTTCCGATGATAGCTTTCTTTGCCTTCACGAGTGATTGCTTCACCTTTGCCATGATGTTGTTTGATTGCTTTTGAGTGGCCTTCGTTGAAGCCACTTCTGTGGGAGGGTCCTGGGATATTTTCATGTCATGTCCATCCCTGGTGCGTTCAGGAATTGACACTTCTCGCGTTGTCTCATCGGCGTCTTTTTCCTTCTCTAGCTTTGTTTCACCACTTTGTACAGAATCCTCTCCTTTCACTTCCACCTCCGGCTTCTGGGGCTCCTCTACTTGTTCTTTGGTGGGAATTTTTGCGACTTCATCTGCCTTTTCTTCAAGCTGATCTTGATCTTTGTTGGTTTTGACTGAAGGAACATTCTCATTATTTATGTTTTCTTTCCCATTTTCAGCAACAAGTTCAATATCTCTGCGAGAATTTTCTCCCTCCAATGAGTTCTCCGTAGCTTCAGTGACAGGAATGGAGCTGGTCACATCCTCCACTTCTTTTGCTTCAGGTTGAGTCAATTCCCCAGTTGGAACATTTTTCTCTCCATTCTCTTCAGTTATTACATTCTTAGCTTCATTATCTGTTTCAAACTTTCCCTCCACAACTTCCTCTTCTGCCTGTTCTTCAACCACAGCAGCTTCTCCACCCAATTCCTTCTCTTTGTCCTTCAAACTGCCCTTCTCGGGAACATGAGTGGGTCCTCCTTTTACATTAACTTGAGCTTCCTGAATGACCAAAGGAACTGGAGTTAAAGTTTCGGTCACAAGAGTTTGTTCTTTAGTAATCTGTTCCCCCTTCAACTTTGTATCGTCAACTTCATCTTTCGCTATCTGAACCTCCACACTTTCCTTTCCCTAATTACTACAGATTCTTCCTCAAGTTTTTCAGCAACTTCAGATGGTTGTTTTGATTCCTCTTCTATTTTAGGAATTGGTTCGGGACGTTCTTGTTTAGACTCTGCTTCTGAATTTTCTACGTCTTCTACTGCAACAGCTTCTGATTCTTCGACAGTTAAAACTTCTACTTGCTCCCCTTTTTTCCTGACAGCCTCAACTGATGATTCAGGAACATCAACTATATTTGGCATCTCCTCTGGCTTTTCCTCAGCAGACTTTATGATGGATTCCACTTCTTGTTTCTCAACAGTATCAATCACTGGTTTCTCCTCTGGCTTGCACGTAATGTTGTCAGCAACTGGTTCTGAAACATCAAGGATGCTTGGTTCAGGAATACAGTCTTTGGCCAATTTTGACATCTCTTCAACAGGACACTCCACATCAGGGGTCTCATCTATCTTCTTTAACTCATCAATAACAGAAGGGTCAATTCCCTCATCCTCGATCTTTTCTTCTGATGCAACCAAAGTGACTGGTGGACTTGGAGAGTCCTCAGCTTTGGGCTTGCCTTCCGCATCAGTCTTTCTTACATCATCCATTACAGAAGGTTCAACAGGAAACTCCACATCAGGGGTCTCATCAATCTTCTTTAACTCATCAATAACAGCAGGCTCAATTCCCTTGTCCTCGATCTTTTCTTCTGATGCAACCAAAGTGACTGGTGGACTTGGAGAGTCCTCAGCTTTGGGCTTTCCTTCCTCATCAGTCTTTCTTACATCATCCATTACAGAAGGTTCAACAGGAAACTCCACATCAGGGGTCTCATCAATCATCTTTAAGTCATCAATAACAAAAGGCTCAATTCCCTTGTCCTCGATCTTTTCTTCTGATGCAACCAAAGTAACTGGTGGACTTGGAGAATCCCCAGCTTTGGGCTTTTCTTCCTCATCAGTCTTTCTTTCATCATCTATTACAGAAGGTTCAACAGGAAACTCCACATCAGTGGTCTCATCAATCTTCTTTAACTCATCAATAACAGAAGGCTCAATTCCCTTATCCTCGATCTTTTCTTCTGATGCAACCAAGGTGACTGGTGGACTTGGAGAATCCTCAGCTTTGGGCTTTCCTTCCTCATCAGTCTTTCTTTCATCATCCATTACAGAAAGTTCAACAGGAAACTCCACATCAGTGGTCTCATCAATCTTCTTTAACTCATCAATAACAGAAGGCTCAATTCCCTTATCCTCGATCTTTTCTTCTGATGCAACCAAGGTGACTGGTGGATTTGGAGAGTCCTCAGCTTTGGGCTTTCCTTCCTCATCAGTCTTTCTTACATCATCCATTGCAGAAGGTTCAACAAGAAACTCCACGTCAGGGGTCTCATCAATCTTCTTTAACTCATCAATAACAGAAGGCTCAATTCCCTTATCCTTATTCTTTTCTTCTGATGCAACCCAAGTGACTGGTGGACTTGGAGAGTCCTCAGCTTTGGGATTTCCTTCCTCATCAATCTTTCTTACATCATCCATTACAGAAGGTTCAACTTGTTTATCCTCGATCTTTTCTTCTGGTTCCAAACTGACTGCTGGACTTGGTGAGTCCCCAGCTTTTGGATTTTCTGCCACATCAATCTTCTTTCCATCTTCAGTTACCAGAAGCTCGGCTGGCTTATTCTCAATCTTTTTTCTGATTCAGCCACCAAAGGCACTGCTGGACTCGGACTTTCCTCTGCTTTCGGTTTTTCTTCCTCCCCACTTTGTTTAGGAGGAGAAACACTCTCTTTTTCAATGGTTTTTACCTCTTCATGCACTCCTTCTCTACTGTCTGCAGCAAATGCGACATTGATTAGTATCAATAAACAAAGGAAGAAGATGTAAAAAAGAAAAAAATACCCATCTATTGAACAGTCACCATCACTCCAAAATCAAAGATTGAAAGAAATGAGAAAAAAAATATTCATGAACTGTAAAGAAATGTAGTAGGAAAAACTGAAAGTGAAAATGCAAATAAAACTTTAAGGCATTATCATCTTAACCACAGCCAATCATAATATCTATTCTTTTTTGAGCTCTTGTGGCACCTCAACTTTTTCCTCGCATATAACATGTAAAGCAGGACTATAGATTATAGAGGAAACACAAACAGGTAACAACAACATAAAAATAACTTCCGAAAAAAACAGCATAAAAAGGTAGTTGAAACGAGTTGTTGGAGGCAAACGAAGATTGCGAATGAGCATTCCCTGGGAAAGTTATCATATAGATCTTTCTTCTTCTGACTGGTTTGAGGGATTTTCATCTGGAACTGAATGATCAAAAGTCATAATACACGTTCTAGTGTCATCTGTTGTTCTTAATCACTATAGATTGCTATCACACCATCTTTATGAGGAGATTTCCCAATCTTCTGTTCGAAAAATGTGCACAATTACGGACCAGATAGTACTCCCGCTGAATACATCATCTCCCAACTGAAAATCAACCGAACCATAATTCTGGAATCTCAACTACAAGATTGCCACCATTCTATTTATGTCTGATTTTAGGTGGATACCAGAATATATCATTTTTTTGTCTAGAATGCAAAAGAAAACTTGAATCCAAACTTAGTATATCTTATCCACTACCGATAATTTTTGTTCTTTTCTTTTAGTGAACAAAATCTCAAAGTTCCTTTAACTCCACAGAATTACCTGATTATTCTACCTAGTGGAGACAAAAAAACAGATATTTTCTAATAAGAAAACTTCAAGGGAGGGGGAGAAGATATTCAATAAATTCAACAAATAAATCCAAATTCGACAATTTCCTAAGTGTGTATTGCTCAAAAGTCCAGAATCATGAGTTAGTTATCCATTAATTTCCGCAGATTATTGCAAAGATAAATTATGAACGAAGTGGGTCTTGCTCAACAAATCCATAATCATAGCTCCAAAGTATTTTACTTCTGGTGAAAAGTGAACAAATAAACTAAATCATACGTGGGTCTAGCTCCAGAACATCTACCATAGCATGAACTCAAAAAATTTCAAATCATACCTAGTTACTAACATAAAAACTAATAAAAACCAAGAAAACACAGGAACACAAAGCATACCTCAAGGGTTGTAGAATGATCTGACACAGCAGTCTCACTAGCCATGAATGGATTCAAGAAAAGAAAGGCCCTTCTAAATTGGTCACAGATCCAATAAACAAATATAGATGAAAGAGGATTTCAATGGAATGATTGAAACACAAAAAGGAAAAGCTCAAAGGAAACTGGAAAAAAAAAAAAAAAAAAAGTAGAACCACACCTCGAGAAAAAGGGAAAAAAAACAGTGTAACTGACGAAAATCACATGGATGATGATCTGTCTGAATTGAGTGGGAACACTTTAACGAACTGTCAAAACAAAAGAAATAATGAAAAAAATTCAAGCTTTGGAAAATCATAAAGGAATTAAATTCTTCATTTTTGATTGGTGTTGTCATGGAAAAGTGACAAGCTTTTAATATGGAGACAATTTGCTAGCGGCCTAATTTTATTTGGACATAGTTGTCTGATTTGTGGGTTTTGGACAGCCCCACACTGAAACAAAGTGTTTTGTACAACACCCTTTTTGGGTGGTTTTTTTTTTTTATTTGGCAGGTTCTTTTTTTTTTTTTGGGTGGTTTAGTAGTCGAACACTTTATCACTCGACATCAGCCATGTGATTTTCATCAGTCACACTCTTTTTTTTTCCCTTTTTCTCGAGGTGTGGTTCTACTTTCATTTTTTTTTTCCAGTTTTCTTTGAGCTTTTCCTTTTTGTGTTTTCAATCATTCCATTGAAATCCTCTTTCATCTATATTCGTTTATTGGATCTGTGAACATTTTAGAAAGCATGTTCTGTCTGAATTGAGTGGGAACACTTAAACCAACTGTCAAAACATAAGAAATAAAAAAAAAAAAATCAAGCGCATGAATTGGAAAATCATAAAAGGATTAAACTCTTTCCGGGCAAACCAGTTGCAAACAATTGTTTATAGGCAGTCAATCAAAATTGAGGACACGGACATAAATCAATGTTAAAAATTCATAATAAATTTGAATAACTCCTCAATTTTGATTGGTGTTGTCTTGAAAAAGTGACAAGCTTTTAATATGTGGATCATTTGCTAACGGCCTATTTTTATTTGTACATAGTTGCTGATTCGTGGGTTTTGGATAGGCCCACATTGAAACAGAGTGTTTTTCTCACCGATTACTCCTACTGTACAACATTGTTTTGGGTGATTTAATGGTTGATGATTCTCTCAAATAATTTAGAGGTCTCAAGTTTAATATTTTTCATGCACTCTAAGGGACAATCATCCTTGTTTTCAAGAGACATGTTCTAAACTCATTCGAATTATCGTGGTCAGTATTCAAACTTTAAAGAATAATTGACGCAAACTTAAACACCCTAAAGCAAAAAAAAAAACTTTATTTCTCTTTTACAGTAGTTTTAAATGTGTGTCCAAATTTATTGTAATTTTTAAATTATTTTTTTAATGTAAAAAGATAGGGGTAAATTACCCTTTAACCCCCTAAACTATAGACTTGATTTTATTTTGTCCCTTAAACTACTAAAGTTTTTACATTACCCCCTCAACTCTGATTATTTCACACTGCCCTAATTACAAACATATGTTATCCTTTTAGATGAAAGTTGTTAACGTATTGGAGCAAATGAAAAAAAATTATGTGGCTCATGGACAAAATAAAATAACTTTTTATTAAATATGTAACAATCGTTAATAATTGAGGCAATGTAAAATGAATCACATAGTGAAGGGGCAATGTTAAAAACATAACAGTTGAAGGGGTCAACATATAATTTACTCGGGATATTTGTAGAATAGATTTTTAATTAAAAAAAAAGTATGATTTAAAGTCATGCTTTAAACTGGTGTAAATGGACAGTAAAATTGTACAATATTTACCCTACATCCAAAAAAAGAGTGAGAAAACTGTTATTTTGCGTTTTTTTTTCTTTAAAAAAAATTGTTATTTTGCCAATAAGGCTCAATAGGAGATTGTATCTGAGAATGAGCATCTGCTAAATCACTAGAATAAATCATACCAAGTAGTATATGAGAATTGACAGTTTATAATCACTCCGACAAACCGATACCAAGTCATCTTTGATAATTGACAGTTTCTTAATCACGTAGATAAACCCACTTTGCTCGAGCGGGGTATAATTGAGCTGCATGTATAACAGAAAATAAATTGGATTCTGGGCCAAACGTGCAAGTGGTTTGATTTGAATGTATCAAAACTGTGCAAAACGGCGGCTACTGGGTAAGAATGGGAAAGAATATGTAGTCTACGGTAAGCGTTTGACACAGGAGTATGCAAATGTATGCACCAATTGTTTTATTTGATTTTATTTTGGTATTACGGTCAAAAGTCTCTAAATCAGTTTATGCGCACCTCGACTAATTGTTCATCGGTTCGATCAAAGACGAATCATCCACCATGGGCGGAGAGGCGCTTGTTCAAACTTCACAAATCATACTTTCAAACTTGTCGCAGTTGACCAAGGGAGCAAGGGCCCACTCTCAATTTTATTTTAAAAAAATATTACTTATATATATATTCTATCATTTTTGTTCTATCAGTTAGTACAGTCTCATACCTAAATAATTATGAAATTTTTAAATGCATTTTGGACATTTTATAAATACATTTATATAAATTTTTGACATGTTGCATTCATTTTTAAGCTATAGAGATTATGACAACTAAGTTGTATAATTGAGTGAGCAATCAATGACTAATAATTTGGCTGATTATATAAAGAAAGACAATAATATTATTTATGTAGTTAGCTTCATTTGTTGTGAAATATTGTAATTAGCCCTATTTTTGTTTTTGTTTTTTTTGTATAAGATATATACTTTTGACCCTTTTGTATTTTTTTTTTTTTTTTGTAAAATGGATGTGGATTAATATTAAACTAGAACATGTATAGTTCTAGGATAATATATCCCCAACATGTCAGCATGTAGTTGTTCCTTAATACAAACACGAGGAAAAATAAAGATAACTAAAGTAGATTGTTCAGATGTCTCGTTCTTCGTCAATTGATCCGCGTAGTGGGTTCGTCTCCCTCATTTGATGCTGGATCTGGGATTTCTGTAGCTGGCTCAGTAGCCACCTCGATGAAGGCAAGGATTTCCTCTTCTGTTTTTTGGATTACAGAAGTGACGTCTATGATCATATGATGAGAGGAGGTAAAGTTGTTTGTTGAATATCCTTGGGAGAGGTGTCTCCCATTTTTTCGTAAGAAGCGTCTTTGTCCGGCGTCTCAAACGACGGTGCATTAATGGAGTTGTTAGATTTTTGACCATCATTTATTGTCGGTTCTTGGTCTCGTTCACCCGTGACTTTCTGTTGCCCTTTTTTCATTGCATTACGACTACTCTTCTTTGAGAGTGGAAGAGTTTTGCTAGAAACCTCCCTTGCTTTCTTTTTTTTCCTAGTTGTCCAATTTGATTCTTGTTTCTGGGGATGATCTGGGCCACGGATTGAAGAGAAATAGAGTGTGTCGGGTCCTCCGCTTTCAATAAATTCTTCGTTTGCATTTTTGGATATGTTCTAATGTGGCAGTGTATTTTCCTTCCCCAATTACAAGGATTGTGGTTTTGACACCTGGTTTTGTATGAGAGGCTGAGATTTTGGTTTTCATGTGGGCCCTGTGCCAGTGGGTAAAATTTATTGGGTGGTGGACATTGTTTCTTCTCCAACAAGGGCAATTGGATAGTTGATGAGAAGCTCTAGAAGGTTTTTTGTTTTGAGATGTGTTTTCAAGACCTTTTCCGGTATATTTCTTTGCGTATTTGACCACCGTCCATTCTCCATATTCCGCATCCTTTTGTACATCAACCTTTTGCAAGATTATCTCTCTGTGAACAAGGTCTTTCTTCCGGGTGGTGGAGTCGTTCTCTTGACAATATGTGCTAGGTAAAGGGAGGTCTAGTGACATGCAGACTTCAGAATATATCCAAATAAAATAACAAGACAGGTTTAGTTGTTCTAATGAAGCATTGAAATAACTGGAGAAAGAAACAAACCTATAGAATGACAACTATTTTAATGGGCACATAGGATCCCACCCTTTCATCCATCTTTTTGAAGATGAAACCTTCTTATTTATTTTCTGGCTTGGCTCTCCCTCATTCAACCAACCTACTTTCTAATCCTCCAGTTGCCGGCGCGCTTTTGCAACAATCCAAAAACCTACGCTCATACTTCCCTAGATCTATTGAAGAGGGGCAATACTCCATTCGATGGCCTATCCTCCTACAATGGAAGCATTGCAATCCAATCCCTTCATACAAGATGGCGTAAGTTTCCTTCCCTATTTTTATTTTCGAGATCAAAGGTCTGTCTTATTGGATTTGGATGCAAATCCTGACAGATTTCCCCCTTTCCTTTTTGGAAGTATAGGTATCGATCCTCAATAATTTTCTAAGCTTCCTTCTAATACTCTACTAATAATTATGGGATTCTTACCCATACTGCAGTTTTGGTGGTTGCGGCTAGCGATGGCTTGAAGTCAGTTTCCCATTTTCGTACTGATAGGAATTGTTGGTTTATGAACCATGGGCCTATGTGAAGAGCATTTAGAAAGTCTCCCTCGGCTTCAAATTTGATAATGTAGTAGGTCAATAATATCCATTCCGTCTGCAAGGGAGAGAAGCGGTTTCAGTTTTTTGAGAAGACATAACCCAATGATTTACCAAGAGGTTTGGTAATCACGAAGTTACACTAGGTCGTGTGGAATCACTTTTTTCTTCTCTGGTGAGTGGAATGTGGACTCTAGCGGAGGTATATTCTTCCTCAGTATGTCACGCCCCAATTTCTACAATTAATATCATGAAATAACACTATTAATCATCAAACTATGAGAACATAACTAAATAACATAATTTTAATAAAAAAAACAATCACCATTTATCATCTACTAAACAAAAGTCCCATAGTAACATAATTCAACCATCAAAAGTTACATCCCAAACCTTAATATCCACAAAAACTTAAATAAAAATCATTGTCTCAAATAAACATAAATTCCATCATCCACAACTTTAAACTAAAAACCAATAAAAACTAAACCCTCCTCCAAAGCCGGATCCACCTCCTTGTCCACTTCAACATTATAGTTCTCATGCTCACCTAGGTAGTATCCTCTTTGATACCAAGATCAAAAAAATGTTCGAGGAAGGGGCGAGTACAACAAGCTCAATAGAATTTTTTTCCCAAACCTAAACAAAGTTTACAAAAAAAATGTACAAAAACAAGTTAAGTCTCAATTTAACAAAATAACATATATAGCTTTGAAGTAAAACATATTAAATTTAGCATCAATCTCAAGTTTACAACACTTAATCAGTAAATTCACACAAGAGCAACATTATTCATAAAATTAGAACTTACAACATGAGTTTCTCATAGTGAAAGATCATAACTACGATAATTCACATATCGACTATATATGGCCCATATTCACACCAAAATCTTCAAATCAATTATTTAGAGGGCCACAATACTTTTGGAAGTGAGTATACCAATGCATCAGCATTGACGAAACCTTCTCAAGACTAGTTTACTAATTCCAACTTCGGTCATCGTGAGCAAAAAATGCAAATTATTAAAACATTGCAAGGAACTAAGTAACTCCACTATGAGTTAAAGGGAACATTTAAATCCCTCAAGAAAAGAAACTCGTCTAAACATTTTGTGATATACATTCGAGTTTAACACATGTTAATCACACCAACTTATACAAGGATAATATCCATACTTTCAATAAAATGCACGTATGTCACAATACAAAATCCCACAATTCTCAAAATAGAAGAGTAATTCAATTAAAAAATGAAAGAGATTGTAAAAAGATGTATTCAAGTTGACCATATTCAAGATCTAGGGTTTTGCATCAAGAAAATACATTTTGGATGTAAATCATGCAATTTTTCTAAGAAACAAATCATGTAATTGAAAAGAATACGAAATCATTGTCAATCTATAATATATATAAGAATCAAAATAAAAAAGATATATAGATTTAACCCGAATCCTTAATGAATATGAATGGGAAAGAAACTCTAGCTTAATATGCAAATAATTGACCCTAACATGTTTTGATGTGATTATTGAAAAATAGCTAAAGCAACCCTAAATTATGTCCCTAGGGTATTTATAGTGTCAAAAATGGAGGAAACCCTAAAATCTGATCGAGGTTGTTTTTAGCAAGGTGTCCAGACTGTGGAGAAGGTGTTCGGATGGTTTTTACTTACTGTTTCTCCTTTATTCTAATCAGACGCATAGTTTCCTTTTTTTAAACTGTCGTCAAGATGGTTTTTAGAAGTATTTAAGCTAATTCTTCATGTTATCCTTCAATCTTCACCTACATGGTGCTTAACTATATGATTGATTATCTAACTCAATTGAATGTATTGTATATGTTGTTTGATTGATTATAGATAAGTGAAGTCTTGACATCTTCAATATTTACAACTATGGGCATAACATCGGAGCTATGTTCCTTAATCTAAAGTCAATCATTATCTTCTAGTTAACTTACTACCGAGACAGGATTAGCTGAGATTTAATTATTGTACAAGTGTTGCATTCAAACACTCTCATGATTCTGAAACTCTGAAATAAGGAGTGATTTTTTTTTATTGTCAAATACTTTACATTTGCTCGTGCACATAAACTCTTCACAACATAATCACTCATTCTTTAAGCTTTCTTGCCTTAGTCTCTATTGATCTTTTGTTTAAAATTCCCCCATTAGTTTCTTGAGGATTCGATCTCAAACTTAACCGAGTTATTACTACAACTCGACCGCTTATACTTGGTGATTAACCATCAAAATTACTATTTTATTATATTTAATGATTGATTAATTTCATATTATTTGTGATTAAATATGTTGAATTCTTTGATTTTTTAGTTTGATACTTTTTCTAGTTGTTTGGTTTATTTTGTAAGTAAATTGGTTAATTTAAAGTAATAATGGATAATGCAAGTTAATCAATCACTAGAGGAAGAATCGCATTTGATAAGGATTAAAGAGTCAATATTGAGATAGGAAGACTTGAAGATATGACAGCAATTTAATCTTTCTAAGAGTCCAAGATGGAAGAAAACTCATTTAAAGTTAGATTAGGAAAGTATCTTAGAAGAATAAGGATTTGACACATCTTCAGTATTTTGGTCATAACTTTTGACTCTGATATCCGATTTACTTGATTTTTAGGGGCTGGAAAGAAGACTCCAAGGGCTACAAAAGTGTATTTTTACGAAAATTTCGTGATTTAGCCTCTAAATATGCAAAGTTTAAGCTCGAAATTTGGACAAATTTTGTACCCGCACCCCAAAAATTTTATGCACCGGATTTAACCTTACAAAATTTCTCTTTGGAAAGGAATTCCTTCCAAGCCAACCTTATATCTTCTACTTATACTTAGGATTTATTTTTAGTATAAATAAGGGTTCTCATCTAAGATTTAGGGATGATTCTTTTCCCATCTTTTCTTTTCTAGTTTTAGTTTGTCATGTCTGGCTAGAAGGCTAAGCTAGGGCTAGGGGAGAATCTCTTAATGAAGTACAGTAATGTTATTGATTATGAGTTTAATGATTTATGATATTTTGTTAATTTAACTTCTAATCTTATAGCAAAGTTTTTGCTCTGTAAAAATCTTTGAGTTATTGTGTCATGTACATCAATTGCTTGAATTTTTCTGCAAGTAAATAACTGGTTATTCCATGCTTGAGGTAATTATCATTATTTCATAAAATAATATAATTGGATGATTATTCAGGTTCCTAAATAATCTTTTGATTATAATTTTTGATTTTCTTACTTGATTTGTTATTCGAATCAACCGACATCTGATTCTTGTTTCAAGTTAAGTTTTGAGTCCTTAATTATTATTGTATGGAATTGAGAGGGAGTACATGATGCTCTAGTATTTTTATTATATTTTTTTAATTACTCCAATCAATATTTTCTCAATTCAACAATCTCTTAAATAAATTATTCTTACAAGTTTGCTTTTTATTTGTTTTGTGTCTCTTGTTTTTTCAATTCTCTGTGGTTCGACCTCGGACTCTCGAGAAATTTATTATTTCGCACAACCTGCACTTGGGTAATCAATTCTAAAGTTGTAGCACTTGGGCATGCATATCTTTAGTCGAGTCAAATTTACCATGAAAAAAGCCCTAGCAATTGATACATTAAGCTGAGAGCATATAAATTTTATCAGTCTTAGAATAATGGTTCAAATATTCTACCATGAGAGTAATGAAAAGAATAAAATAAATTAAAAGAGGCAAATAAAGAAACACAAACAATTGATTCAACCAAACCACAAAATTAATTTCCACGAGAGTGGGTGTGACATGGTAACTGATGACTGGTAAGTGCATCAGAGAGATAGAGAGAGGAGAAAACTTATCAATTACAAGAGAGACTGAGAGAGAGTAGCTAAACTCAAATGGTTGGGTGAGGTAAGAGGAGATTGACTGAACTCAAGTTTGTATGCTACGAATCGATAACCAATAAGTTAGATAAAATACAAGAGATAAGGACAGAGAGAGAGAGAGAGGGAGGGAGAAATAGAGTATGTGAAACCCAAACTTACAAATGCATAACATTTTATAAAATGTTAGAGGCTAATGAATAATTTGTAAAAATAATTATGGGTGTTAAATTATGGTTACTAAAACTATGGGAGTTAAGGAATATTTTGAATTATTAGCCTTAAGGGTTGACTTGTTGAGGGCAAAAATGTACTAGGAGTAAATAAGAAAGTAAAGAAATTATGTGGTGTGATTTGTTGAATAGTGAAAATATTAACAATATGACTAAGTGAAACTAAAGGGGATCCAAGTGGATTTTAGTGGAAAGGGGTGAGTCACAAGAGACAAGTGTCTCTCAGACCACCCTTATGTGTCTATGTTATATACATACATAT